TGTTCGAGGAATTTCGTAAGTGGTTCGCATCGTGATAAGATGAGGTTAATTCTAAACTCTTTTTTAATTCATTACTGGATTACAGTTATTCTCCTAGGAGTCATGGGTACACCATATTCCAATGCCCATGAGTCTTAGTAACTTTATTACCGTACATTTGTGGATTTTATCTATTTACTATGAATACATGAATTCATCAAAAATGATAAATGGTTTCAAAACGCATCTCTTTTCTGCACCCAAGAAAATCCGAGCCAAGAATTAGTCTTCCCAATTTCTGGAAGTATAAGGTTATTTGAATTATCCCCTTAAAACCTGCTTAAGGAAGGAGCTTCTGCCGAAATGCCCTAAACTGATCTCATCGGGAGATGACATGAGGCCTGAGGGAGGTCTACTTTATGCCTGTTTGCGAAGGAAACAAGCTCGCTTTTACTATTCCAATGTTTATTCAGTGCTTTGTTATGATGTTAGAAATAGCAATTATGCGAAAACAATCTGCTATACAACAAAAGCTTTATTCCTCGGTATATTTTAAGACATTTAATTACGTTTTGTAGGATATTAAGCGGCATAAAATATGTAAACATTGGTTGCATTTTTTCGAAGAGCTGAGGGCGAAAATGGCTATCTTCTACATGCATATATTGCAAAAGACTGGTTGCTACCTATGCTGAAGAGGTAGGTCTCTTTTCAAGATGTATTTACTTAAAGCCTAATCAATCGGTTTGTCTGTTAAAATAGGTTTTTCTGTCAGAATAGACTAACTCTTTTGCCGGGGAGTCGTTTCTGGTGCTGGTGGCGTTAAGGGAAATGCCTTTGGAAGACAAGTTGAATCTTCACCGATGGTAAAGGTAGGCTCCAGACGATGCATAAATGTAAAATAGGTATTCTCTAGCCAAATAAAACAGTAAGTAACTTAGTCCTACTACATTGCTAAACAAGGCAGACTATAAAGACGTCCATGAATGAGGATGAGAAATCGTGTTTGTGCCTATTGGCGAATGGTGGAGAAATTATCTCATTAGAGCATCAGATGGAACTGGGCAAAACCGATCTGAACAGCGGATGGCAATGGCCAGAAACGAGTGTGTTCTATTAACAGGCTGGAGAAGATACTTGTCTGCAATGATAAAGACGTCGTCATAGAACAGAGCAGCAAAATGTAATGAATGTGACAATCGAGTTCAGATAAAGTTATGCCTAGCATGATACAACTCTGGTATGGCCATCTACTTTCCAAAGGCTGACGACGCTGCCTGCGTAATTGATCAAATGAACAATCTTGTGAACCGTATTGCGAAGTGATTACTGTCAACCAAAAGTAGACTACTGATACCATACGAGACTGATCTTTAGACTCAAAGGAGAGAAAAGGTCAAGCTTGAAAAAAAATCTCACCTCGCTGCTCAGTGGTCTGTAGTACAGAGTGGCCATCACCTTGTTCGACGCCAAGTTCTATAAATGCCTACTTTGTATAATCCAGAATTGTGGGCTGAAATAGCCTGACTCTTCGATTGATGTTAGGACAAACACAAGCAAATGGTAAGAAGGAATCCGTCTCGAAGACTCATTTAAGACACAAATGGATCCCCCAGTGTTAATCGGCCTAAGGTCAGGCTGTTTGGTTCAATTGCTAAGGCGACAATAGTGCCTACGCGACAGACTGTGCGAATCAAGGCAGGACAGATGACACAAAGGCATAAAGAAATAAAATCAGAGAGAGCTAGGCCTGAGGAGAGATGAGTGTATTGAAAGTCCTTAGCTCCAGTTGGCCAGAGCAATGAAGCCAAGGTCAGAAGCATATACGCACGGAATACGGCTTCTATACTCATGGCAACAAGAATTGCTGGACAGAATAAAGTTTGGGAAGCCAATGGCATGCCAAAAGCTAGAGGAGCGAGAAACGTTATGCGATGGTTTCAGAGAAAGCCATTACTATAGGACAAAAATTTTGGAGGCTCAAAATGTTTCAATAAAATGAATTCAGCGGCAAAGAGCATCAATTACAGGAAGAGGCTAACTCATATGGAAAGTTAAAATTAAGTTAAATTAGGTCATGAGAAAAATTGACATATTTTAGAATAACTATGCTTTAGGGTAATTAATTTATGCTTTGAGCCTAAACATTTCCATTGCCTCACGCATCGCAATGGAAGTCTAGATGACCTTTCTTGGACAAAATGCAGCCGAACCTTCAAGGATTCTGGGCAAAGCAAAGTAAAATTTAATGGCGATGTGGGAAAATTCTATTATCATACCTATGTGATACTCTGCGAAGCAGACTTACTAAATTCCTTATTCAATATATATTATTGGATTTTAAATAAAAAATAATATCTAGTACGACTCTGAATTGGCTGATTCCCTCATGCTCATTCACGTGACAACGTAGCCCGGTCATTACTCCCCTCCTAACTAAATTGACTGGTAAATAACTTATACTAATTTCTGGTTAATTTTATATTTTCGTTTTCCCATATGAGATAGAAGTGTGAAAGAATTAGTTAGAAATAACTACTTAGCTCAT